CCCCAAAACCCCAAAACCCCAAAACCCCAAAACCCCAAAACCCCAAGTCGAAAAGTATTGGCTGAATCTTAGCTGTATAAATTCCACTAAACCTTCCTTTTCTTTTTGCTTAATCCTTACTCTCAACATTAAAAATCCGCTGCAGTAAGTTTCTTCCGGTCTACCGTGATCTTTTCAAGTGAAGGCTATAGCGCATGAGCCATCTTCAGAAGCAACATTGGAGTTACTAAATCTGTACTAATACAATCTCTAACATTAAAACCCTCCCAGGACTTAAAGAGGCACAAATGGTTACTAATTTCCAACACGCCACAACCACAAAGGCACTGAATCCTCTATTATTCCCTCTACACCCAAAGTTCTACACTAAAAATCCTCTAGTCCTAACCCCCTACACAAGAACGCTAAAATCTCCTTTCAGGCTCCAAGTAAAAAGCCAATGCTGAGCTTAGAGGCATTGAACGAGAAAGTGCCAAAGAGATTTGGCTGAAAGAGGACAATAGGATGTTTAAGAACTTTTGGAGGTTTATAATTATACAGACTTGATGTTTTAGTATCTTACCGAGCACCCTAAGATTGGTTTCATAATGATATGTAAAGTTTCAGATTCCTGAGTTAGTTCAACTCCTTCTCCATCAGTACAGCTAGATAGGCTGATTGCTTTTAGGCTAAATGGATTGAGAATGGAATATTTACCCGGTCCAGATGCCTTCTTTGATCGTAAACTCTTTGCATTTAAAAATACAGCCTCTGAAGCTGATCTTTTTCAGTAGTTTAGAGTAAGCAACTAAATTCATTATAAATACTGTAGAGATCGCTAGTAATAGCTTGAAACATTATGGTTATTTTCATTTAAGCTAGAGATAAAAATAAGGCCTTTAGATATGAAGATAGTCTACAACATATTTTGGTACATTCTTTAGGTAATTTCACGATTAGAATATTTCTTAGCCCAAGGTTTAATACAGTTTTGTTCGAGCTATTAAATTCTCAGATTACAGTTATTAATGATTTAAGACAAAATTTGGCATTTTGCATTGTCTCCCTTAGTGGAGTTTGGAGTAAGATTTTAATAACACACAGTACCGATTCTTTTAAGCAGCTGAGAACTTCCAATCTTGAAGTGATCAATTGCAATCTCCGAATAAGTTTTTCCACAGATTGAAAAGAGTGGTAAAGATATCTTTTGCAAAGAAATCTTGCGAGATGTGTTATTATACAGATAAAATCTGTCGTATTTATTCCCAATGTGCAGCTTCATGATTTCTGTTGCCATTATGTCTATATTTCATGCTTTATCTAATCGTACTTCTATCTTGCTTTACTATATCGTAGCAACCAACGCATGTATCTGGAAATTGCATAAACTTGGACCTGATAATCTGCTTCATAAACGCATGACAGGTTGGATTTGAATTGTCAATGATCAAGTGATATTCTTGTGCTCCAGGTGCATCAACTATCTCGTATCTCTCACATTTAAATCGCGATGTGATCTTCTTTTTTAATTCCTTTTCCTGTTGTTCCAAAGTTTTAGAACATAAACCATACTTTTCAGCTGTTGCCATTCTATCTGATGACTTTTGTTGGCTGGTAAGTGTTTCCATCGCAGTTCTGTAAAATATTATATAGCTTCATCAATTATATTAGCTTATTATGGGGTTTTGGGGTTTTGGGGTTTTGGGG